CAGCCACACAGAGTGTTGGACAATATGGAGTCACCTTAGGGCCACACTGGAAGACCTCTAGTAATGGTCAACAGTATGACTGCCAGGGAACACTGATCACGGAACATTGATCATTCCGCCTATGTGGTTTCTTTCCTTGCTATATTGTGTATTATATTCCTCCCCCTGTCTTTCCATATTACATTCGTCCCTAGTTTTGTCTGGGGCCCTTGAGAGAAGAGGCTAACAATAAATACATAAATAAGGTTCATTGCCAAAAGCATATTAATTTGAGGGTGGATGGGAACTCTTCCTACTGACCTATATGGCAATATGCAGAAAAAAAGGAATTGGGGGCATACCTGGAACATGCATTTTTTCAACAGTGGTGCTGCCATATAGACCAAAAATTATACAAAATACAGATTAAGGTACAGCCTCCACTATAGGTGCCCCTTTTTAGGTGACCACAGGAAAGCATACATTTGAGAGACTTTGGAAGCAGTAAGTATTGCAGTTAGCATGTTTGTATCCCATGTTAAAATTAGTGTTGGACTAACTGATATACTGTAACATAGTGGTGGACTTAACACAATATGACCATACGGTGTAACTGTATCCCCATATTTGTTTGCTAACATAAGTGATTTTAAGTAGCCTTGTAAACAATTTAAACTGTGCACGGTTTCTTAATTTGTATATTCTATATTTCAACATGGGGTGGAAAATTAGTGATCCCATGCATCCAGGGGCGTATTAGCCGCGAGGCAAACAAGGCATTTGCCTTGGGCGGCATTTTTCAGGGGGCGGCAAAAAACGCCGCCCCCCAAATGCCCAGGGCAAATGTCTTGTTAGCCTCGCGGCTAACAGACATTCTGGGCGCTGGGCGGCAGTGGCTGCAGCGCTGGGCGGGCGGCTGGCGAGGGAGCACTTCCCCTGAGCGCTCTGCTCAGCTCCCTCGCGCGCCGCCAGCAGAGTGAGGCTGGGAGCCGGGTTGATGACGTCATATTCCGGCTCCCAGCCTCACTCTGCTAGCGGCGCGCGAGGGAGCTGAGCAGAGCGCTCAGGGGAAGAGCTCCCTCGCCGGCCGCCCGCCCGCCCTGCAGCCACTGGACCCCAGGGAGAGGAAGAACCCCCCCAGCATTACCAAAGGTAAGGAGGCTGGGGGGGGGTTAAATAAAAAAAAACACTAGTGAGTGTGTGTATGTCTGTTAGTGTGTATGTTAGTTTAGTGTTAGTGTGTGTATGTTAGTGTGTGTGTTAGTGTGTGTATGTTAGTGTTAGTGTGTATGTTAGTGTGTGTATGTTAGTGTGTGTGTTAGTGTGTGTATTTTAGTGTGTGTGTTAGTGTGTGTTAGTGTGTGTATGTTAGTGTGTTAGTGTGTGTATGTTAGTGTGTGTGTTAGTGTGTGTGTGTGTGTGTATGTTAGTGTGTTATGTTAGTGTGTGTGTGTGTGTGTTAGTGTGTATGTTGTGTTAGTGTGTATGTTGTGTGTGTGTGTGTGTGTGTGTGTGTTAGTGTGTGTATGTTAGTGTTAGTGTGTGTATGTTGTGTGTGTGTTAGTGTGTGTGTTAGTGTGTGTATGTTAGTGTGTGTGGATGTCTGTTAGTGTGTGTATGTTAGTGTGTCTGTTAGTGTGTGTATGTTAGTGTTTGTGTATGTTAGTGTTTGTGTGTGTATGTTAGTGTGTGTGGATGTCTGTTAGTGTGTGGATGTCTGTTAGTGTGTGTCTGTTAGTGTGTGTCTGTTAGTGTGTCTGTTAGTGTGTGTATGTTAGTGTGTGTATGTTAGTGTGTGTGGATGTCTGTTAGTGTGTGTCTGTTAGTGTGTGGATGTTAGTGTGTGTATGTTAGTGTGTGTCTGTTAGTGTGTGTGTCTGTTAGTGTGTGTGTCTGTTAGTGTTAGTGTGTATGTAGGTTAGTGTTAGTGTATGTATGTTAGTGTTAGTGTATGTATGTTAGTGTTAGTGTGTGTGTGTCTGTTTGCCTGTGAGTGTGTGTGTGTGTTTGCCTGTGAGTGTGTGTGTCTGTTAGTGAGTGTGTGAGTGTGTGTCTGTTAGTGATTGTGTGTTTCTGTTAGCTAGTGAATGCGTATCTGTCAGTGAATGTGTGTGTATTTAGAAGGCGGAGCAGGGGGGAAGGTTGGGTGGCGGTTGCGCGGGTGGGGGTGGCGTGGGGGGGGGGTGCCTGAGTTTTGTCCTGCCTAGGGCAGCACAAAACCAGGATACACCACTGCATGCATCACTAATTGAGCTTGGACTTCTTAAAGGAGACTTTGTTGGTTGTTTATATGGAGGCTGCAAAAGTTTAATTTGTAAATCCACATATATAGTTGCAAGTGCAATTATTGATAAAATCTCAGTAGAAAACTCAGCATGTAGACAACAGGTCTCCTAGAAAGGAGGCCTCAAGATTGTCACATTTAAGACCCTACTGTTGAGTTCAAATACTACTGAAACATGTGAATAACTTTGAACTTTCAGACCCCTTTTGATAAAATTATTTTCAAAGTGATGACAAATTTGTCACTGAATTAAGAGAAACATATTCATAGGGTATCTGGAACAATGAATCTAAAAACGATGCTTCATCTAGGAGAGGACACTCAGTGCAACCATGCACAAACCTGGCTTGTAGCCCTCAGTTGTTTTTCCACTTCGGGTCAGGAAAATTGCAACGTGTGTTTGTCCTGTGTTTCAAATGCCGTAGGAGAGGAATATTATCCAGTTCAGATTTTCCATGAGCTACATTAATGTGTAAAACTGTCAGTTCTTGGGTGGGGGCCAGGGAACAATGACCTAAATATATAACCATTAGTAGAAAAAAAGGTGAAGAGGTCATCACCAATATACCCTCTTTGGAAATATGTTGATGTTTATGAAAAAAAAAGCTTTCCATAGTTCTACTTCTAATCAACGCCCTGGCATCTTATCTGATTACCTGTTAATTCATGGAAAAAGTTATTTTTAAAAACAATATCACATACAGATATATGATAAATGAATGTATAAAACTCTTTCTAACTGATCAAAGTGATTGTAATAATATAAAAATTGCTTTTTAAGTTCATCACTAGCTTGGGTTGGACCTCAATTTCCATGATATGGAGCTCAGACCAAGTTTTCACAGTTTTATACTTTTTTATATTGATCGAAATTTCAGACTAAAAACACAGAACATGGTAAACAATATCAGAAAATATCAAATTAACCTCTAAAAAAGGAAGTGTGACAACAAAAAACGCTTAAAGTGTATTATAACAAACAGCAGCTCTAAAATAAATTGAGCAGAGATACCTTCTTTAACACGCCAATAAAATACACAAATTAAAAAATACTTTAAGTGAAAACCTTATGTAAAATAGTGGAGAGCCTAAAAAACCCATGCAAATAAAATATTCTAACCCTTGCCAGTATTTAGTCAAGTGGTGATATTCACCAGAATACCATAAAAAATACAGAGAGGAAATATGTAGTGTAGATGGTATTTGTAGGAGTGATATCTATACAATGATATTGGAAATCCACTCACATTGATAACAGCCTGCAAATATGGCTCGATTAGTTGTACAGTTGTGCTCTTTATTCAGCCCCACACCTTGCTTTTGGAAGATTCAAGTCTCAAACATATAAATGTAAATACCATTGGTGTAATATGTAAAGATATATCACAATTAGTAAAGATATATAATTAAGCTCAAAAATCACATTAACCACCAAAAGCAGGTAGAGGATTGGGGATACTATGGGTTAGGTTCAGTGGTTGGATAGTGGCCTATACCCATTAGATTATAGTCTACTCTCTCAAAAGATGCTGCAAATGAAGCCTGGCTGAGAGTGATGGGAATTACATCTCACAGCATCTACGTAGTCAATGAAAATTAGGGGATACGATATTGAACTAATGCATCCTATTGTCAATTGAGCTGAAATTCAGCTGCTCATATTTACTCTTGTCATAATGTTACAGAACCAACAGCCAGGGGCCCACTACGTTAATTGACCATATCTGCAGACATTTCATGTGCACAATATTAGTTTTTTTTTGTTTGTTTGTTTTTTTCTTTTTTTAGCGTATTATGATTTTTAGCATATACCTTCACTTGAACCATTCAATAAGATTAGAATTTAGATTTTGTTTTAAAAAGGTCTTGTTATGCCATGTGCATGAAATTACTTTTATGTGAAACAGAGGAAGGAAAATTAAATTATTTGTAACAATGTTGGTTTTTGTCTGCCCACCCAATCTTGCATGTTTATGGCCCTACCTTCTATCTTTTTACCTTATCCACCCATGTCATTAAGAAAGGGAGATACCTGGAACAGTATTACATAAATGACAAAAAATACAAAATGCTTATTAAGCCAAATGTGTGTAAAATAGTTTCCTGCCCATGAACGCAGAGATTACCTTTTAATGAGCTCTATTAAGGATGTCTGAATGATGTCAACTTGGCCATTTACAGACATGCCCATTCAATGAATTGGGCTGGGTACCACAAATAGGAAACTACTGTTTTGGCAAAAGAAACTGGAAAAATATTAATAGGCATTTCTTTAACCATCCATGTGCTGTAAGTTTCCCCTACAATTATAAAAATGACCAGTTCAGACAGATCAACATAGGAAGGAGTATATAATTTTTTCTGTCCTTTTATTAATTTTTATACACAAAATAAATTCATTTTTTTCCAATATTGACGTGAAGCATCCTAAAATACAATACAATGTTCTTCTATCAACAATTCATCTAGCCTGATTAGTTGGAAAAAATGTAGGGATAAGTAAGAATATTTGGACTTAAAATAATAGCTGCTCCAATTGGGAAAATGATAGTAGAGACTCTCTAATTTGTAAAAGGCAAGATGTCTAATGATTAAAATAATCTTTTTTATATATATATATATATATTTTTTTTTTACCATACCAAGGGATGTACATAAACTTTACAGCAACCAGTATAAATATTGCATTTGTAAAAACTGTATTATATTATTTTTATTTATTTATTATATGTTTACAGGACAAGTTGTATTTAAGAGATTCCTCTTCACCCACACCGGTGGTTCATATAACGTGATGTGTATTTATTGTGGCACACTCCATACAAACTCCGGCCAGTGTTTGCATCACAAGAATATGACTTACTCACATTTTGTTCTGTACTAGAACTTCTGTCATTATTCTGGATTGCATTGGAACATACCAGTGGGAGATCACTATAAACTGGCCAGAAATTTTGGCTGTGGCTGCCATTATTGAATGTTTTAAGTGCTTATAACACTAAGTATTCATTTCTGTCTCCTACAAGAGCCTTTAGCTAATGATGAGGTCCTGTGTGATGACCAGATTACCCTATGCCAGCCTGCCACACTACGTACTTACTTTTTGTAAGCTCAGTTTTTAAAGGAACGCACCAGGTTGTATTAAGCACAGAAGTCGTAATGTATTATAAAGATAAAAAATGCACTTAAAAATAATATAAAGAAGAAAAAAAGAACAATACTTTTCTATGTATTCTCCCTTTTGAAGTTTTTCCCATACATAATACCCTCTTCCAGTAACTGGCTTCTGACATTTGGTTAAACCAGGAACTGGCTGAGCAGACTAAGCAGCAAAACTCCCCCTGCTGGTTCAGTGTGTCATAGAGCATATTTGTTACAAATGCCAATCAGACCTCCTCTACCACCATGCCCCAATATCAGTACCAACTGGAAAAAGCATCCAGTTCTATTTGGTGGTTAAGATGAACAATGCTTACTCAGTTCTTTGTAGAACCATGGTATTACATGCATGTCTTGTATATCGAACACAGTACAGACTGTCTCAGTCAGGTTAGATTTATTCCATGAACAGTCACAGTTGGGTTGCATTTCACCCATCGTATAGTACTTGGTTATAGTCAGGCTGTAAATCACACATTCTACAGCACTTGGTCATGGGCAGACTGTGTTCTATAAATACAGTCTGCCTATGACCAACATTTACTTTACATGTCTGCAACATAATATATAGGAATGGTATAAAGTAATAAGTAGCAAGTGCTGTGTATAGTCAGTTTTTGATTGTAACTACTACTTGTTTACTTGAAGATATCCAATATATGCTACTAAAATATAATACATCATATGTAACTATCTAGCAACAACTTACTATTTCTTGAATAGATGCCAAAATAAATTAGATATTTCAGAGCAAAACTGATTTACTAATCCAGATTGTTAAAATGAAAAATATTCAGATAACTACAGATAAACATATGGCAAACACCATACCCATTGTACCCATTTACCCATTGTAAAGCGCTGCGGAATTATAAATATAATAATAATAATAATATTGTTGCAAAGCCAAAATGTTGTTATTTTTGATTCAGTAAAGAAGAGTAAGCATTCATTTAGTTAGTTCATTTGGTTAAAGGGACGCTATAGGAACCCACCCCACTTCAGCTCATTGTAGTGATCTGGATGCAGTGTCCTAGTTCCCTTAACCCTGCAGTGGTAACTATTGCAGTTTTTAATAAAGGAAGCTATAGTTCCAGGAAAACAACTTTTCCTGGCACTAAAGTTTCCCTTTAATGCTCTGACTCCTGTACCTTTTCGGACTTCAGAGTTGCAGGTATGATTCTAGGGAGGATTGTCTCTGAGACTGCAATCATGTGTATCACTGAGTTGAGTAACTAACATACAATTATCAGTCACAACATCAAAACCACTAACAAGTGAAATTAATAACACTGATTATTATACTGTTACAATGGCAAAGGATGGGATATATTAAGCAGTAGGTGAACAGTTAGTTCTTGAATTTCGTGTGTTGGAAGCAGGAAAAATGGGCAAGAGAAAAGATCTGAGCGACTTTGACAAGTACCAAATAGTTATGGCTAGAATCAAAGCATCTCCAAAATGGCAAGTCTTGTGGGTTGTTCCCAGTATGCAGTGGTTAGTACCTACCAAAAGTGGTGCAAGGAAGGACAACCAGTGAACCGGCATCAGGGTCATTGGCGCCCAAGGTTCATTGATGTAGCCGCAGACCAGTTAAAGTGCACATGATGACCCGTGTCCACCTTCAAAAGCTCCTTTAATGTGGATGTGAGCCTCAGAACTGGACTATAGACCAATGGAAGAAGGTTGCCTGGTCTAATGTTTTCTTTTAGATCAGGTGGATGGCCAAGAACGTTGTTTACCTGGGGAAGAGATGGCAGCAGGATGCACAACGGGAAGAAAGCAGGTCGTTTTATGCCCTGGGCAATGTACTGCTGGGAAACCTTGGTTCCTGGCATTCAGGTGGATGTTACTTTGACACGTACTACCTACCTGAAGATTACACACCGCATGCACCCCTTTATGTCAAAGGTGCCCGCTGATGGCAGTGGCCTTTTTCAGCATGATAATGTACCTCCCTAGACTGACAAGGAAGAGAGGACCTGACTGATGCCTAAGTTAAGGGGTTGGGACCAAAATGGATACATTTGTTGCTAGTTGAGAGAAGGGCTAAAAAGGTGGGAGGAGGGAGGGGACTCACCAGTTTGTCAGGAAACGTGTGGGGATCCTAGCTTTGCCGCCCTCCCCTTTTCAGTTATCAATTGTTTGTTGTGTTTGGTTTTCTTCTCGTTTAGTCACAGCTTGCGGGAGTCCTGGCCACTGCAGTACAGTTGAAGAAAATGCCGTGGCGGCTTGGGGAGTTGCAGCCTGCTGAGAGCTGATGGCGGGGGCAGGCTACTCCGGACTCTTGGATTATTTCACGGTAGAGCTGTCTGTTGGGGAAGCATCCCAGCAGCTGACAGGGTGGTTTGTTTGCTGGCATTTGGTGTTTAAGTAAATAAAGCTGTGGCCGTTGCCCTTACCCAACAAATATAGGTCTCATGTGGTTTGAATGGTTTGAAGAACATGGCAAAAAAGTGCAAGGTGTTGCCTTCGCCTCCAAATTCCCCAGATCTTAATCCAGTTGAACATCAGTGGGACAACAAAACCGATCCAAAGAGGCCCCACCTTTCATCTTGTAGGACTTAAAGGGTCTATTGCTAATGTCTTGGTCTTGTGGAGTCCATGCCTTGATGCATCAGAGCTGTTTTGGCAGCACGAGGGGGATATACATAATATTAGGCAGGCAGTTTTAATGTTGTGACTGATCAGTGTATATTGACTGGCTGAGAATTTGTTTATTTTTCTATGGATTTCATTTTATTTAGCTAATAAACAGAGCAAGACCTGCTTAAATACAGGTGCATATGCTACAGAATTGTACAAAAAACTAGGTATTATTGGTAACAGTTTTAATGCCTATTTGCTTGTTATGGGAATTTATGTTACAAATTGATAAGTGAAACTGCAGTGAATTTGGCTTAGATTTTGGAGACACTTTTGACAGCTCATTGCTAGCCAATATTATAGTTTCTGAATGTAAAGGGCTACTCTAAGTATCACAACCACTACTGCTCATTACAGTGGTTATGCTGTTATGGTACGTCATCCCCCGTTTTGAGAAACATTTTTTCAAACCATTTTAGAGTGAATTGACAAAAAAACAGGACTATACCCGGTATTCAAAGATCCCCATCCCAGACACACGAATGTTGCAGAAACTGTCTTTCTACATTACACAGAACAACTACAATCAGCTTGGCTATCAGTTACAGGGTGAGAGCTGGGTTAACCAGGTTATAAGTTTGTGAGCTGCAGTAGTTATGGTGCTTAAAGTGCCCCTTGAAATAGAATATTAAGTGAATAATATGTTTAGACAATACTACAACTTTTCTTTGAATGAATTGTACAGAATCTGCCGTAATAATTTGCATTGGCTTAGTTTCTTAAAAGGCAAACAAAGACTTTATAAATTTAGCATGGCGGGCTGAGTGTAATATAGACAGTAACACTGGGAGTGCCTAGATAAATGTATACAGTTATACTGCCATCCTCTGGTTTCCTGCAATGCTGTGAAACTTGTGGTTGTCCTTGTTTGGTCTACAAATTTAGGAGCACACAGTAGCCTAATGGCAGCTAACCTTGGCACTTGAGATCTTCTGTGCTACAGATGTTTGTGAACGACTTTTCCCATGATGCACAGCCAGTCCACAACATCTGCAATGACAGGGTCAGTGCTGTAGTCGCTGAGAGATTGCCCTCTGGTTAAGATGCACATCTGCAACGATGTAACAGGGCACAGAAAAAAAGCAGGAACACAGTGTCTAAAAGTTCGCTTATTTGGAAATCGTACTCCTTTCAACGGTTCTGTTATCAGATGAAGCATTTCCTTCATCAGCGCTAATATCCATATAGTTAAACAATGGATGCGTTTCCTATAATTTCCAAATAGGACGTGAAAGGCTCTCAGCTTTAAGAGCAGAGGATGCTGTAATAGGGCAATGGGAAGTGACTGAGTCACTGAAATGTCTCTTTCATTCCAGAGATTTAAAACATTAAAAAAAGAGAGAGAAAAAAGGGAAAGAGGAACAGACAAGACTGATGGATGGGGAGGGAAGGAGGTGAGCATGAGATCTAATTAAATGGGAGTTTCCCATTCATCAGGATCATGATGAAAGTCCACAAGAGGGGCTGAAACGTTGATCTCTTAAATATTTCAATAAAAGTTACGTTTTAAGGAAATCTGAGAGTGCAGCCAACTATTTCAATTGCCTATATATATATATATATAACACCCTACATAGCACAATGACTTATGGGGCTGGCATAGATTTTTTTCCAGGGCTGCTTCGTATCCCCAGTCAGGCCCTGGCCCTCCCATTAGGTGCAGTTAGAGCATTTAGAAAGCAAACTTGTTACTAGGTTAGTGTTCGCCTTGAACGAATGACACCCTGTCCTCGCTGATGGTGACTGTATACTGTATTCTATATACTGCTTTCTTTGCTGTTCGCTCAGATAAACATATTTCAATTGTCTGGATACTGGAGCCCTGGTGATGCACCCGGTCACACAACTTTGATGCCTGAGTGCAAGGTACAACAGCTTTTTTATATATATATATATATATATATATATATATATATATATATATATATATTATTGATACATTTCTTCTTCTAATTCAAAATATTAGTTCTTTCGGGGTAATTAAATTATACAGTAAAGCATACTCACACACAGACACAGACAATCTTACTGATGCACACAAATAGGCTCATTGACAGACAATCTCAATGACACACACAGACAAGGTTACTGGCACACACAAATTTAGTACAGACAAACTCTGATACACACACAAGCTTACTACAGACAAGCTCACTGTCACACACACACGCTCACTACAGACAAGCTCACTGATGCACACACACTCTCCCTACAGACAAGCTCACTGACACACACATGCTCACTACAGACAAGCTCACTGACACACAGGGCCAGATTAAGAGCCCAGTGGGCCTGGTGCTGACAATTATGACGGGCCTAATTACAGAATCATATCGACCAAAAACAGTAAAACACTCCCAAGCATCATGTATCTGATGGAGATGGAGATGGTGCTGGAGAGAAAGAAAACAGCAGCTATAAGAAAACACATACCCTAGGCTAATCTCTCACTAATTTATGTTTTCATCTTTCAAGTAATCCATAACCCCTAACAGCAGTGCCCAGTCAAGCAGGAAGTCAATGGGCATGGTAAAAGGGTGTGCCACTGACACAAATCACGTAACCTGCCAAAAGGGGCGAACATGCCCAAAAAGAGGACATGTCTGCTCAAAGAATTAGAAGGCCAGCCTGGCATGAATGCATGTCAGGCTGCCTACCAATCATGCAGCTGGCCAACAAAGGGCATACTATGCAGACAGCACCCTGAGCTTGGCATAAATGCATCTAATGATGCGCTCGCTCAACGCTTTCTAAGGACTGTCCCCTAGCACTCGCTGGTCCACTTGTCTCCTTACCTTCTTACTAGCAGGCAGAAGCTCCTGGTATATGGTCTGGGACAGAGAAAAGCTGTATGTAGTGAGTGTAGAAGAAAGGGAACATGCCACAGTGTTAGAGAGACCAAAGTCAGCATTACCTTAAAGGATCACTATAGGGTCAGGAACACAAACATGAATTCATGACCATATAGTGTTAACACCACCATCTAGCCCCCTGGGCCCCACATGCCTCCATAAATATAGCAAAATCCTGCTATATTCAAGCCTGAAGCTGTAACTCTGCATGCTGTTAGGCTCATAAAAACAAGCAGTCTGCTGACATCATTAGAAGTGGTGGCCTGATCCAATCACAGTGCTTTCCCATAGGATTGGCTGAGACTGACAAAGAGGCAGATCAGGGTCAGAGCCAGCATGATTCAAACACAGCCCTGACCAATCAGCATCTCCTTATATAGATGAATTTAATTAATGAATCTCTATGAGGAAAGTTCAGTGTCTGCATGCAGAGGGAGGAGATACTGAATGTTTGGATGCATTTTAGGCAGCCATGACAGTCATGTGGCCAGTGAAGTTATCACTAGTATGTAATGTAAACACAGCATTTTCTCTGAAAAGACCATGCTTACAGCAAAAAGCCTGATGGTAATGATTCTACTCACCAGAACAAATTCAATAAACTGTAGTTGTTCTGGTGACTATAGTGTTTCTTTACCTATATTCATTGTCAGCCAGTCCACACAAATGTTGTTCCCATACATCCCTCTTAAGTTTCCATACTTAAGTAAGAGTATGTGAAAAGTAGTTAGGGTTGCCACCTTTCTTGGAAAAACATACCAGCCTTACTAATTTGCATAATTAAATATGTGTGGGTGACATCACATGATGTAAATCACAAGGAGTGACATAACAGAAAATGCTGTAAAATCACCAAAAAACTACTTAGTTTAAATCTGCTGTATAGATGGATTCCTCCCAGTGCCCCCATGTCTCCCAGTGCCCTCATGACTCAGTGCCCCCATGTGTCGATTACTCCAGGTCTCAGTGTTCCTATGTATCAGTGTCTCAGTGCCCCATGTCTCCCAGTGTCCCCTAATGTTGTGTCCCCAGGTCTCCCAGTGATCCTATGTATCAGTGTCTCAATGCCCCATGTCTCCCTGTGTCCCCATGTATCCCAGGGTCCCCATGTCACTAGGACACTAGGAAGACGGGGAGACCTGGGGACACGGGGAGACCTAGGGACAAGGAGACACACATGGGGACAATGGGAAAATAGGGGACACTTGATGACATGGGGACACAGACACCAGGGACAAAGATACTAGAGACACTGACTGGGGGACATGGGGACATTGAGACATGGGGGCACTGGGAGACATGGGGACACAGACACCAGGGCCACAGACACTAGGAACATTAGCTTGGGGACATTGTGACACTTGAGGCACTGAGAGACATTGAGGCAATAGGAGACATGGGGATAGTGAGACACTGGCAGACTGTGGGCACTGGGAGACTAGGGGTCACTGGGAGACTAGGGGGCACTGAGACACCAGGGACACTGGCTGGGAGACATGGGGACACTATGTCCCCATGTGTCTGTGCCATAATGTCTCCCAATGTCCCTTAGTGTCTCAGTGTCTGCCATAATATCTCCCAATGTCCCTTAGTGTCTCAGTGTCTGCCATAATGTCTCCCAATGTCCCTTAGTGGCTCAGTGTCTGCCATAATGTCTCCCAGTGCCCCTTAGTGCCTCAGTGTATGTCTCCTTGCAGCCTTTTCCCCCATCCCTTACTTCCCTGAGCTGTAGGCTGTCTCTGCAGGGTGGGAGTTGCTGTCTGGACTCTCTGTAGCTGCTCCCCTGTAGATCAGTGATTATAGATAGGCAGGGAGGGATATGCTGGAACTTCCTATCCCTGCCTGTCTCCACATACAGTGACCCCTACTGGCCAGTGCTGGTATTGCAGAGTAATCTCCATTTATACTGATACCAGCATTTATTTTGCCAGTACCACTGCAATATTGGCACCAGCCAGGCAGCCTCAAATACTGGCTGTGCCAATAAAATAAAAGCCATGTGGAATCCCTAAGAGTAGTGTGTGAAAAAAAAAAAAAGTGAAAAAAATCAATGGGCCTATTCCATGGGCCTGGGCCTGGAGCTGCAGCTCCATCAGCCCCTATGTTAATCCGGACCTGCTGACACACATATGGTCACTACAAACAAACTCACGATCACACACATGCTTACTACAGACAAGCTCACTGACACACATATGGTCACTACAGACAAGCTCACGATCACACACATGCTTACTACAGACAAGCTCACTGTACACACATGCTCACCATAGACAGGCTCATGCTCCTTACAGACAAGGAAGGGACTCCTTCCTTCTTCCCATGCAGCAGTTACCAGGGCCCCCGTCGCATTTTAAGCTCCGCCCCGCTGCACACTAAGCTCCACCCCTGCCGCACGCTAGCTCCACCCCACCGCAATTTTTTATTTATTTTTTAATGATCCCGGCCGGCCATGTGTGTGCTGTGCCGGCTGCCTGGCTTCCCCTGCTCCCATGGGGCCCTGTGCGGCCACACAGCTCACACATGGCCGGCCGGGATTACAGGAGCCTGATCACTGATTAGGGCTGTCAGCCCAGCCCCAGGTGCCACGGCCCACCGGGAAATTTCCCGGTATCCCGGTGGGCCAGTCCGGCTCTGGAGAGGGCCCCCTAGTGGGCCTGAAAAGTAATTAATGGGTCTTTTAATAGGACTGGAGTTTAGGCAGTAAATGTTGCAGCATGGTGGGAGGGGCCTCCCCTTCCCTTTTAAGAGGTTCCTCCAATTCCTGTCCCTCCTTTTTATTCCTGCTGGTTCCTGGAAAGGTTTCGCCGCTTGGTAGGATCCCCACAGAGGTTCAGAAACTCCATCCCTCCTTCTTCCCGACGCCCTGCAATGGAAGAACAAGAGATGAGTATTGAGAAGTTTTCTCCAACTCCTCCAACTGCTATAATTTCTTCTGTGCCTGTCTCCACTCCTCCTGTTTCTAAGGTTTCTTCACTATCTGTCTCTTCTCTTCCTTCTACTGCTGTTCAGCATCACTTTCCCCATCCTGTCCTTCCTTCTTTCTCACACCCTCATGTATCCCCTACTTCCCTCCCCCCTTCAGCTTAGGCATTGCATCACTTGGCTGCTCAGTTTGACCCTCTTCCCTCCTATGCTCTCTCTGCCTTGGCTGCATTTACTCAGGCAGCCAAGGACAACCCGTCTCCCACTCTCGCTCTGCTTTACCCCGGGGCCTCCAGTGGCCCTGACCACAACTTGCCCTCTACCTGCTTGGATGTGGCAGACCCCAGGCAGCTCGCGACCCATGCGTCTCCTGGGGTTCTTCAGGGCACTCTCCCTGCTGCCCCCTCGGCTCCCGCGCTGTCTGTGGTCGCCGGAGTGCTTCCCTCAACTCTGGCAGTACCATGTGGCCACCATTAATGGCTCCGCCGAACACGCAGGAAGTGACGCGGCCATCACTTCTGGTCATGCAGTTTACAAGGGTCGGCTGAAAGAAAGTCCCCTGTGACATTCCAGGCCCAAGAAGGGTAAGTTGGGAGCTCCTGGGGGGGGAGTGGATCTGGGCTTAGGGGTGTCCAGTTTCTCCAGCAGCGTC